TTCTTTCGATGCCTAGCACCACGGGTGCAGCCACGATGGTGGATAATAACCCAATACCTGCTACGCCTAATCCCATGCTGACTGAAACAAGAGCGCTGTCAACACCGTCCACGGAATTCACGTCCCTGTGATATTTTTTCTGTAATGCCGACCGCGTATCGCGTTCACGTTCTAGTTGTTGTTTGATCTCACATATCTGTCACAAACGAAACCGTCTACGGTTTCCAGTGTTTTTGCTACTTCATCCACGACCGGGTACAGTCCCATTCTATATATATACTCTTTTTTATAAAATAGTATTTAATTGGTCCTCCGTCAATCGTCGGTGAATATACTTTAAGCTAATAAAGAAAAAATGTTCTGATGAAAAAATGGCCTCGAATGTAATGGTGTATCCATCCTGAATAACCAAAATAATTCGATTAATGAATGCTCCCTGAGGTGTACACGGCAGACCTAACAGCTCTGATCAATCTGTCTGTTAATATCAATCTCCAAGTCATTTATTATCACAAATAAAAGGATATTGTGACGGAAGCTTCTGTGTTTAATGTGAGTGCAAAATATGGTTGACTTAATGCTATACCGAGCCAGAATCGGGTGTTTTTCTCACCCACCCGGAACACGGCAAATCAGCCACGTAGGCAGGTACTCGGGATTCACAACATTGCGTGATGATATGCCCCATCGCATTATCGTGTTCTCTGTGCTCTTCACACTGCATCTATATCTTGCTTTACTCTTGATATGCAACAAAGATGCATTTACAAATGCCATGATGCACTTGGAAGATTTCTTGCCGCATGAAAACAAACGTGTTTACAATTACGACACTCGTTACAGTGTGCTCACTGAAGCGAGACAAGCTGGGTGCACGGCTACTGACCTCATGCACCAGGGTTTTCACTCACATACTACGATCATGCAAATGAAGATCATTCATTCCAATGACGTTGAACTAAATCCTGGTCCTATCACTATGAAAGACCTGAACAGTCTTAAATCCTCAATACTTGCTAAGGTTAGAGACTTTCGATCACCATTGATGAGAGAAATAGATGGTGTTAAGGATCAGTTAACAGACATACATAGGAAGTGCTCTTCACTATAGAAAACTGTTGACAGTAATTGTAAGGATATGGTTGCTATAAAACATGACCAGGAGATAATGTACAGCGATATTGATGCCCTGCGAGAACATGTTGATAAGCTTAAATATGGCCTAGTCGAACAATCAAAATCACTAGAACGGCTCAAAATGTTCAGCCGTAGGGACAACGTGCTATTCTATGGTGTCACAGAACAAGTAGAAAGCCCCCACGAAGAATGCAGAAATACCGTATTATCTCTTCTCAATAACAATGTACCAGACAAGGCGTGGTTAGAGCTCACCGTATAGGTCAGAAGAGCTCAGCAACTGCTGACAAACCCAGACCTATTATTGCTAAATTTGCGTGCACTGAAGATAAGATTCATGTGCTCGGCAAATGTCAATTCATTAAAAGAAACAATATTGGTATATCAAATGACCTTACACAAAATCAGAGATCAACTATCGCTGATAAGCGCAGTCGTGGTTTGATTGCCTTCTACAAAAATGGTAGACTGATCACAAGACCGATAAATGAGAATGAAACCACAAGCACCAGAACCATTGTCCCGGTCCGCAGAAAGACGGCTGCAAGGCCAAGGTCACGGGCTACCCGACAAGAGTCTGCACCCTCACGTGATAGCAGTCGAGAGGATGAAGCACAGGCTCCACCTACTGGGACTCCTGATGAATAGGGGCGATTAGGTTTCAAATAATGTTTCTGTATGAGACGTTTAGTGACAGCATCATTGCTGTCCCTGAATTGTCTGACTACACACAATACATAGTGAGAGCAATGAAAACGGCCAGGCATGGGAGATTGTCGGGAGGAGTATTTGCTTTCATACATAACAGCGTATCCCAGTTCTGCACTTTACTGAAGTTGGATATCGATAATCCAATTGCCTTTTGTATTTCTAAACAGATATTGCAAGTAAAAAAGATGTTATTTTGATAGGTCTCTACATACCACCAGAGGGGTCGAGTTACTACACATCGTGTGGGAAACCAACACGTATAGAACTACTTGATCAGTGGTTCTCAGAAAACCTGGATATTCTTTCTGACTGTCATATAGTTATCGCCGGTGATCTGAACTCCAGGGTTGGGACAGGCAATGAACCACAACCGAACTTTCTGGGAGATGTGTTCCCTGACGAAGAATAAGTGCCTCTTGACAACAGACAATTTTGTTGATAACTCAATCAATAGATTTGGTAGAATGCTAATGGAAATGTGTTATACGTACAAGTTGTATATTTTAAATGGTCGTGTGCAAGGAGATAAAACTGACGAGTTTACGTTCATATCTAGCCAGGGTTCTTCGGTAAATGATTATTGTATTGCCAATATTGATGCCTTTGAACTGATTGAATCGTTTCATGTAGAGGCCCGGTAGAATCAGAGCATATGCCATTAACGGCAAAACTTAAACTTTATGAGCAAAGCCACCAGCTAGAAAATAATGATAATACTGACAGAAACTGCTCTGACAGAGTTGTATGGAACCATACTAAGTCAGACGTGTACACCGACAGCATAAACAGCTTGCTGACACCTTTGTTGAAGCAACAAGATTAGTTGATACAGCTGTTGACCACGCTCCAGACGTGTTTGTACAAACAGTGCAGCGGACTGTATGAAAAACGTAACAAAAGTGTACTCCAAATGGTTTTTGATAAATATGATAGTAAAAATACCCTCACTCGCAAAGCCTTGCGTCGATTCCAAAGAAATAAATCTGAGGAAAACCGACGTAATTATTGCAAACAGAGGAACTTTTATAATGGTATCTGTAAGCGCACAAAGCTCTCGTATGAGCGCAACAAAGCTGATGCATTAAAGCAAGCAACCAGTAACCCAAAGACGTTTTGGCGTATCCTCAGAGGTATATCTCCTTTGCACCGACCTTGTCCGAATATCAGTAATGGTGCATGGTTTAACCACTTTAGTAGCCTGTTTGCAACTTATGATGCACCAATGATGGACCACTTTGGCTCTACAGAAGAACTAGACTTAGATGAAGTTGATTCACTTATCCTAGAATCACATATTACTTCGTCAGAAATTAGTGATGCTATAAAACATATAGATAATGGTAAGGCAGCTGGCACAGATATAATACGAATTGAAATGATCAAAACCACTTCTTCATATTTCATGCCTTTTCTTGATACACCTTTCAATAAAATATAGGATTCGGGAAAATTTCCTACAAGCTGGACAAAGTCTATCGTTGTCCCAATACACAAAAGAGGTGAAAAAAATAACCCCGACAACTACAGGGGCATATCGTTGTTAAGCGTCTTGAGCAAAATCTATGCTGGTGTGCTCAATAATAGACTGAAAATCTGGACAGATCTAACAGATAAAGTTCCAAAAACACAGGCAGGCTTCCGATCTGGTTTTTCAACCACAGATCACATATTCACGCTAAATTCTATTGTCGAGAAATGCTTTATGAAAACACGAAAAAAGCTTTATGTCGCCTTCATAGATTTCAGAAAGGCGTTTGATTATGTGAAAAGAAATAAACTTTGGTTTTGCCTAAAACAGAACGGGTTAGGGGGGAAAATGCTGTCAGCACTCAAAGCAATTTACATATGTGTACAAGCTTGCGTAAAATGCTCTTCTTCAGATATTACCGATCTATTCCATTGCCTTTGAATGGAGTGCGCCAAGGATGCATCCTAAGCCCGTTGTTTTCGACTCATTATTCATCAGTGAACTGTAAACTCTTTAAATGAATGTGGTAGACACGGCGTGCAATTATTCCCTGATTTATATGAACTATTCCCTACTTCTTTTTGCAGATGAAGTCATCCTCGTATCTGAATCAATTGTCGGCCTTCAAAACCAGTGAAATATTCTTGAAACGTTTTCAGACAATTGGGGTTAACTGTTATCTTGATAAAACACAAATTATTGTGTTCAGAAAAAGGGTAATTCTTTCGAATAAGGAAAAAGTGGTTTTATAAAGGAAACCAAATCGCCACTGTAAATAGTTACAAGTATTTAGGTGACTGGTTTTCAAGTAACTTTTAAAAATGACTAAATGCATTTCAGACTTGGCGCGCTCAGTAAAAGAGCATTGATGGAGATCATTGTCAAACTAAATAAGATTGGAATGATTGACCCGAAAATATATTTTAAAATCTTTGATTGTCAGGTGATGCCGATATTATTATATGACTGTGAGATTTGGGGAGTCAAGCAATATGAATTATTGGAAAAGGTACATCTTCTAGCCTGCAAACGATTTTTAAGGGTAGGAAAACAAACTCCTAATACTATTGTATATAGCGAATGTGGTCGCTATCCAATATATATAAATGCTTACTTACGGCTTTTACGTTATTGGCTAAAATTGCTCAAAATGAGCGAGTGTAGATTACCCAAGAAAGTATACTACATGTTAAGATATTTTGATGACACTGGAAAAAAGAGTTTGGTATCGTTCATAAAAAATATTTTGTTTTCTCATGGCTTTTGATATATCTGGATTAACCAATCTGTTGGTGATGAACTTTCTTTTGTACACTTGTTTAAAACATCATTGATAAATGGATTTTCTCAAAGTTTTCACAGCTCTAGATATGTGATGTATAGAGAATATAAATTCATATTTGAACCAGAAAGATACCTGTATATTATATTAGAAAAAAAGGTGCGCTCTACTTACACCAAATTCGGATGCAATGTCTTGCCAGTACGTTATAATAAAGGTAAGTGGCCATCAATCAAACCTGGTTTACAGTGAGTCCCATTTGCAACACCTCTGTAGAGGATGAGTATCATTTCACACTTATATGCCACTTGTACAATGAATTGAGAATAACTTTTCTTCCGGAACACTTTTGGAAATTCCCTTCTATCCATAAATTTAAAAGGCTGATATGTACAACTCAGACGTGTACAGTATTACATTTACCATGCATATATAAAAAGAAATAGGTATTTAGAAACACTTTAGACTTCATCTGTATGCTCTTGTTAACTATGTATAGTTATATCTTGTATATGGGCCCTTGGTCTCGTTACAAATAAACTCCTTTTGACTTTTGACTTGACTTGAATAACCTTGACTCTATCGAGGTTTGTGGTGGGGACTGTTCCTGGTTGTACGTAAATACGACAGCGTTGATTTTCATGGCGTTTATACCAGCGTATGTATAATGCATCCAGAAGTTGCACCTTTTGTGCGGGGATATCTCTAAGAAAAACTTCGATAATAAGGGTAGAACCCTGTATCGTACGTCCCCACGAGTCTGGGGCTTTGAGAAAAATTTTAAAATACATTCATTGTTTTCCGTATTCCGGACGGGTGACTAGCATGTTAACCGTTTGATCTGGTAATGGTGTTGCCTAAAATCCATTTTCCTCGATCAGAATAAAACTGTCCAGTAGAATCCCTTTGTTTTTTAGTTCGAGGACATTACGATCCTCATCCGTGATGAGATAGGGGTAGGTCAGGACCAGGTTAGTAATCAAGTTTAACTGAGATTTGATGATGACTTCTCGTCGTTTGTACACCTTGTCTTGTAAGCGCATGGCGTACAAGGTGTTTTCCTCTCCGGGTTCATCAACTTCCCGCGTGTCTCCGAGATCAGCTAGCTCGGCACATGCCATTTTACCAAGGCAAGCTGGGAGCCAGGCTGGAATATGAACTCACGTTCAACGACTACGGCAAAGTTATCTTAACGCCGGATGACACCGAGGCCAGCAACGTCGTCGAAAACATCTCGCTGGAGTTCGACATGGTCACGAGCACGGAACTGGCTCGGCAGATTCACACCCAGTACTCGGAAAAGCTGTCCATCCTGTACGACCACTTGCTGAGATACCGGACGATCGTCAAAGGACAAGAGCGACAGGTTGGGGAACATCAACCTGAACGTGCCGGCTCGATCGCTGAAAGGCATCTTGAACATTCCCATGGTGGAATACGAGCCGTTTCGAAGAGAAAGCGAACTCACTTGGAATCCTGACATCACGAAAGTGGAAGTGACGGTCGAGGGCGTTCTCAACCAGCTGTTCAGTCAAGGCATGCGAGCTTACCAGTAGGGGGACGAGATAATAAATCTACCGGCCATCAAGCGACACTAGCCGGAAGTCAACGACGTTGTCAAAGAGCTGGGTTTGCCCACGGACGATGACAACTACACGGCAGATCCCGACCAAACAAGAACGAGAACGACTGAAGAAACAGCTCGCCGAAACGAAACATGCCAAACTCCTGTTGAAAACCGACCAACCTGCTAGCAAAATTCTAGCAAAACTCTATCAAACTTCTAGCATAACTTAAGCAAATGTTTGAAACACTGGTCGTGTGCAACTTGACTTTGATCTCGCTGTGTTTCTCATATTTTATTAGACTTAAACATTGCTTGTTACATTATAAGATGGAGTGCGACGAACTTCTCACAAACAAATGTTGGATGATGACAATAATAATAATAATAAAAACGACGAGCGAGAGAAACTGGTGGCACTGGCGGTCAGCAGCAAATCCAAACAATACTTGGGTGGGGGTGACCACACTCCCGATAAAATTCACAAAATGACAGCCAAAGAAATCGACAAGCTGTACGTGAGATACGAAGTCAGACTTGGCGCAGAAATGACAAAAACCATAGGATCTGTCATAACGCAAGTCTAGCCGGCTTAGCGCGTACTTCCTTACCATTCCTTACCTGTGGAAAGATCCGTTCATCGACCACGCTTTGAGCGCTGTCAGCTGCCTGCTATACCACAGATAAGGCATGTTTTTATCTCCGGTGACTACGGAGATCATCACGGCAAAGCATTGTCGATTTAAAGATGAAAAAAATAATAATGATAAAAATATACAACATGGATGTGCACCAGGAGGAAACGACAACGCCTACGGAGGAGGAAGCAACGACGACACCGATACGACTAGTCACCAAGAATGCTAAAAAAATTGCCGCCGGTAGAAAAGGTGGTTTAACCAAGCACCACAAAAATAATAATACTCTATGGATTGTTGCAGCAACAGGATTAAGAGTCGTCATCGTCATTATGCTGCTATATAATAATAACAAGCAACAACCACCCAACAGCAGACGACGCAATTAGAAATAAATCAGCATGTTATGTTATAAAAAAATATATATATATCTAATATATACACTAACGATAAATATTTTGAAGTAATATTATAATATTTTAAAAACGTCGACAATATCGCTCCATCGTCCCCGGACAAAAGTTTCGCCCACAAAACGCAAGAGCATGAATCTTGCGGGTTCAATTATGTGGTCTTGACATGCGACGGACAAACGAACACTCCCATGGTCTACCGAGGTCGCGATGCGGCCGAAACGTTTCTCATGTTCTTACAACACGAAGAGAGAAAAATCAGGAGTTGTCAGATCCTGCTCTCATGCGCATGATGTCGAAGGATAAACTCACTCACAAGAATTGCCACGTATGCGAAGAACCGCTGAACGGGGATTCCGTGAGGGATCACTGCCACATCACCAGCAAGTACAGAGTGCAACTTGAAGCTCAAAATCGATCCCAAAACCATCAAAATCCCGGATAAGATTCTCACCTGATCATGCAGGCCATCATGAAGGTCGTCGGCAACATAACATGCATCCCCAACAACATGGAAAAATACATCTCCTTCTCGTTAGACGGTCTGAGATTTATCGGTAGCGAACGCCAACGACCCGGACGATTTCAACATCACCAATCAATACACAGACGCCGAGACTCGACCCCTGCTGCTGAGGAAGGGCGTCTACCCCTACGATTGGTCCAAGTTCGACGAGACGCAATTACCTCCCATCAACCAATTTTACAGCAACTTGACCGACTCGGCCATCACCCCGGCTGATTACGTGCACGCGATTAACGTATGGGACAAACTGGGCTGCAAGAATTTGGGCGATTACCACGACCTGTACTTGAAAACGGACATGCTGCTGCTGGCTGACGTGTTCGAGATATTCAGAAAAACGTGCTCGAACAGTACGGCCTGGACCCCACGAGGTATTTCTGACCTCCTGGTCTCTCTTGGGACGCCTTGTTGAAAAAGACCAGAGTTAAATTGGAATTGTTAACAGATTACAACATGCACTTGTTCGTGGAAAAAGGCTTGCGAGGCGGGATTTCCATGGCCTCCAAACGATGCGCCAAAGCCAACAACAAGTTCGAATGGGTCTCCTCACCCGAGATAATTGATGTGAATAGCATCGCGCAGGATTCGAACAAAGGCTACTTGCTCAATGTGGACTATCCCGCAGAACTACACGAAACACACAACAGCTATCCGCTAGCTCCCGAATGATTGACGGTGAACCTGGACTTGATGTCCGAATGTCAACGAAACTTGCTGGGAGACAATAAGCCGGCTGACGTTGAGAAACTCGTGCCGAACTTGATGAACAAGTCAAAATACGTCGTTCACTATCGCAATCTGCAGCTGTACTTGTCGCTGGGAATGAAACTCACAAAAATACACAGGGCGCTCGGGGTTCGATCAAAGTTCGTGGATGGAGCCTTACATCCAAATGAACACGGACTTGTGAAAGCTGGCCACCAGCGATTTCAAGAAACACTGGTACAAACTCATAAACAAATCGGTGTTGGGCAAGACGATGGAGAATTTGAAAAAACGTGTTAACGTGAATTTAGTCAGATCCAGCTAGGAAGAAAAACTCAGGTAACTTAAAGCCAGCCCAGCGTTCAACCTAAGAAAGATATTCGACGACGACTTGGCAGTGCTGCACATGAACAAAAGCCACATCAAATTCAACCGGCCCGTTTACGTGGGGATGAGCATCCTCGACTTATCCAAACACTTGATGTACGATTTCTGCTACAACGAGCTGAAAAAGCAGTACGGCGATGCGTGCGAAGTGCTGTACACGGACACATGGAAATTCACATCGAGGAAGTGTACGAGGACATAAAGAAACACATGCACCTGTACGAGACCAGCGACTACCCTAAAGATCACCCTATGCACTGCCAAGTCAACAAAAAAGTGCTCGGCAAGATGAAGGACGAATGCGTGGGCACGCCGATCACCGGGTACGTCGGCTTGAGACCCAAGATGTATTCCATCAAGAAAGCAGACGACGACGAAATCAGAATGGCGAAAGGCGTGAAAAAACACGTGGTGAAAAAACACATCAAGCACGCCAGATTCAAGGAAGCCCTGTTCAAGACTCAAACGTTCAAACACCAGACAATACAATTACGCCCTGACAGTCATCGACGTCACCAGTCGCTACAAGGCAGCCGAACCGTTGACAACGAAAGATTCGAACGAAGTCGCCAAAGGCATATACAAACACAGTCGCTTGACATGGCAAGTCGATCCCAGATGCGAGTTCATTGGAGCCGAGTCGCAGCTGCTGGCCAAGCACAAAGTCCAAGTGAGACGAGTACAGCGGGAGCTCACCGTAGCAAAGCCATCGTTGAGAGATTCAATCGCACCCTAGCCGAACACCTGTTCTCACACCAATACTCGCAGGAATTAATGAATCCCAGAAACGGAATCACGGAATGGTTGGTACGCTTACCGCGAGTGGTGGATGCCATCAACAACGAAGTCACAATACTCGTGGGTAAGAGACCCGTCGAAGCCATCAAATGTCAGTGTTAGATACTTGTACGAGCCTGGCGAATACTAGGGAAACAGCAGAAAACGCGCCATCGATCCGATATGGTCCATGAAAACGTACAACGTCGACCTGGTTGACATCAAAGATGGTGAACCTAACTTGTACTACTTGAAAGACGGCCACCGAGAGCATTCGTCAGAGAGGAGATGATAATCGTACCTCATGACACAGTCCCTTTTCTATCGCCCACTGTATGATAATTGGCATAATTGTGTGTGTGTGTGTGTGCGTGCGTGCGTGCGTGCGTGCGTGTGTGTGTGTGTGTGAATCAAAGGCCTTGATATTTCCCGGCCGACCCCATGCTCACTTAAAAGTCAATATTTCAGAAACTATTCTACCCATTTTCGTCAAATTTTACATGCAACTCAGTAGTAGTATACACAATGGTGGTACGGGATTAGGACCTCCAA